GAAAGAGAGAGACAGAGAGAAAGAAAAAGAGAGAGAGAAAGAGAGAAAGAGAGAAAGAGAGAAAGAGAGAGAGAGAGAGAGGGAGAGAAAGAGAGAAAGAGAGAGAGAGAGAGAGAGAGAGAGAGAGAGAGAGAAAGAAAGAAAGAAAGAAAGAAAGAAAGAAAGAAAGAAAGAAAGAAAGAAAGAAAGAAAGAAAGAGCAAAAAGCTCTGAAAATAAAGTTGATATTTGTAGATTATTTTGATAAGTACCAGACCATTCAAAGCTCCCTTTTTTTTTAAATAAAGGAATTTATTAACATAGCCTGAACACAGGTGAAGGGGAGGATGAAAAGAAAGAGGGCATGCCTTTCTTTGACTTCAAAATGTATAAAAATGTTTAATATATGTAAATATATTTTCCCTATATCAACATTTTTTATCTCCTAAGGCAATTCAGATGTTGTTTGAAAATACTTCAGCCATCACTCTAAGCTGCATGCTGATAAACAGCAAATTTCATCCTGATCTATGGCCAGAGCAAGGCAACATGATGCTGTAGACTATGCCTCCTGTTTTGACAAAAAAGTCTTGAGGCCATTACTTGTGGAGGAATCCGTATTCCTCCAGGAAATCCAAACATGGAATTACAATCCTCCTCCAGTCCAGAGCAAGGTAGAAAGAAACGATGGTCATTGGGAACTACCGTGTGCAATTACTGCTGGTCACTGCAGTGTGAATGTTTGCACTTTGGGAAAGGACTCAAGCAAGGGTCTTTTGTCTCCCACAAGAACTCTTCACAGACAGTCATGCTGATCCAGAGAATTTACTGTGGAACAGACCCTGTTGTCTATAGGCAGCTACCCACCTCTGGAATTCATGCTGCAAAGCCTTTAAGCACTGCATTAATGTTCTGGACTTCATTCATATTCCTAAAGCTCACCAAGTGTTAAGTTTTGCTTCACTTGATCTTGCAGCGCCTTAAAAGCTCAGATCTTCAATTATCAGCCTTCAAATCAAGGTCCCAGAGCCCTCAATACTGACCAGTGAAGGGATGACTGGGGAGGCAGCCCTGGTCCTGCCACAGCTTCAGCAGCTTTGCTGAGGAGATGCTCTGGGGTCTCTGTCAGGAACAGATGAATAAGGGGGAAACACTGGTTAGGCACACATTAACCCAAGATATCCCATACCTGGGAGCAGTTTGGAGTGGAAACATGAAGGCTAGTCCCACTGAGTAACGAACAGGTATTTCTGCTGTGGTTTTGAACCGGCTGCATGCTTGACTTCAGTTCCTGCAAACACACTGATCCAGACCCACGTTCCTCACCCAACTTCCATCACGGCTGTCAAGAGCAAGAATTGGTCACAACCTATGAACAATGGTAGCTGTTTGGGGCACAATCCATTTATCATTTACACCCTGCTAAAACCTTGATCTAGAAAGGTCCTGCTTGCTTGGTGAGTTTCCATAGTGCTCTTTGGTGAGGTATCCAAGGATTCCACCAACATCACTTTCCCTTGTGAAACAAGGGAGTGACATTTCTGCATGCAATAGTCCAGGCACCGAGGTGCACAGACTGAAGACAAAAGCACCCATTTACTCTGAGTGCTAGATTTCTTTTACTATATTTCAAAATTTTGAGTATTACATTGGATATAATAATTCAAGGCAAAGATACAACTGCTTGTAGAAAACGCTGGTCTAAACTTGAGACCACAGTGCCTCATTGCAAACAATTCAGACAACAATCAATGATGAGGAATTCATTTACAAGTAAGTGAAATAATCAACCTTGAACCACCAAGGGGGTCATGACAGAGATGCCCAAGGCAGCATTCATCATCAGGACACAGGTTTAGGTGCCCAAGCCCTGTCTTGGTGACCCAGACTGACCATATCTAGACCCTGACTCCCTGCACCTGATCCTGGTGCTGAGATCCAGTCCCCTTTGCAAGGTTTGCTGCTTTGTCCCCTGCCCAAAGCCTTGGAAAGGAAAAAGGAGCAATTATCCCAGTATGATTAAAAGTATAGCATTAAATGGGGCATATGTGCCACATCCCACTAGCTCATGCTGTCATGGGTGATGTTGAGGGTTGCAGAGAGCAGGACAGTCCTGAAGAGGTAGAAAGGATGCTGGAGAGGCAGAGAGAGGAGGCAGAGCTCTCTGTCCTGGCACTGAGGTGCTGAACACAGTCCAAGCAAGGAGAGGCCAGAACAGCCATGGGTAGAAGGCAAGGGAGACACTGTCAGTCCAGGAGAGAGTATCATTCACATGCCTGCAGTGCACTGTGGGACACAGGGCCCTCTCCCACCTCTTCCCCCAGCCTTGTGAATTCATGGAAGCCCACCTGGAGAAGGCAGTATTGACTGGGACCAAAGTGCTTGCTGGGTAAGGGGAAGCTTCTCTTCCAAAGGCTTACTGTAGCTCCCCTACCTCCTTATGTGGGGTGCTGGCTTGCGGCCAACTGTTGGGGAGGGAAAAAATGCTATGGAAGAGATGTTGGACATGAGGGAATCCTGTATCCTAGAAAAAACAATGGTTTTCCTCACCCCATCTCCTACTTCCTGTTCCATGTATGCCTATTTTTTTCCACGCTCCCCGTGAGTGATTTCTGGTCCCTCTGTATTTAATTTGGGAATTGCTGAAGCTATACTGCCTGTGTACAGCTCAGGTAGATTTCAGGAACAGGGGAGGCTGTGTGTCTCCTTTCTGTCCAGCATGAAGGCAGGTGAAGGTGTGCAGCAGCAATACTCCTCCCGTGCTCAGGGCTGGAGTTCACCTAGCAGGGATGGAATAACCATCCAATTAATGCAATTGCTGCCAAGGCTCATCTGCAGAGGGGAAAAATGTTTTTGTTGCATTCAATGTTCATGCCAATTAGAGATGACAAAGGAATGTGGAGAGGGAATTCATATCATGGATACGCTGCCAGACTTCACATTGTTCCAAAAACACCTGTTGCTGAAATTTTGACATTTTACAACATTGCAAAAGTCTTCTTCTAAGAGAGGCCTGAAGCACAAGTTGAACAGAAGAGTACATAGCTCAAGTTTCAACACAAGCCTTTCCAATGGGGCAAAGGTACAACCCACTGAAAATCATTGGAAAGGAACCTGGTCAGGACAGCTGTCATTCCTCCCCTCCACAGTTTCCTCTGAATCCTCTACTGCTTCTGAAAGACTCAAATGATTTATTTATACAATTAATTCTTTTTTTTTCAGAAGCCACTTTCCTTCATCCCTACCCACTGTAACTTGCACTGAATCCAGCTGGTTTGTATCACTCTCCTCCTAGCTGAGCCAAAATGGGCACAAGGTTCCTGATCCCTTCCTCTCCAGAGTCACTTGAGAGCAGAGGTAAGCCCCACACTCATGGGAGTGGGCAGACTCTGAACAGGCTTGAAATTTCTGTGGCATTATCCATGAAAGTCACCTGTCCTGACAACTTCTCACAGGGAACATGGGTGCATGTAATGACACCTCATCTTTATGCACCTTTGTAAATTTATATGCATGTAATAAGAAAGGGTTAAATCCTTTAGCAAGTTTAATATTGTTTGGTCCCCACCACAGCCTACCACTGCAGCTGATCTGTAGAGGGCCTTGCCCACATGCAGGTCTCCTACAGGAAGCTCACCCAGCTCTTTCTTTCTCTTTGCTGCCACAGGCAGGTTTTCAGACAGCCACAAGAGTTTTTTGGAAGACTCGTGATGGCCATGCTGGGCTCTGCTTTTTTACCTCGCTGCTCCAAAGAATCTGCCTAAATGCACTTGGCAGTCATGCTGGTTTTGACATGCCCTTGAAAACCTGACACTGCTGTGTCCATCTCTTCTCCCAGTGCTCACTCCTCATAACATCATGGACAGGGGAGAGACCCTCACGTTGAGCACAAGGGCCAATGGAACACCAGGTGGTCTCTGCCACCTTGAGGAAGGGCCTCAGGAATAGCAGAGGGAGAGGAGAAAGCAGGCAGCTTCTTTTTACTCTTTTTATGGCATCACCTGCAGGTCAAAGCCCTTTTCAGTGGTTCTCTTCACTACTCCAGGTTTGTGTGGGCTGCACTCAACAGCAGGTCTGGGTGTCCCTGGCTGCTGGTGTGTCACCCTGCCTGAGCAAACACACCTGGTCCTCCAGCTTCTCTCTGGGGCTCTTGCTTGCTTTCTTATTTCAGGGGGAAAAAAATGCGTGCCTTCATGAAAAAATTCCCTCTCTGCTATTGGAAAATTTCCCTCTCTATGCTATGGTCCCTTCTCTTTTGCACCCAGATAAAACTCTGTGACTTCTTATTTCCTTCATGTGAGGAAAATGCAGCTGTACACTGCTTGCAGGGAAACTGTGCTTGCCCTGCCTCTAAGAGCTGCCTGTGTGCAATGCTCCAGGTTTCGCCACAGAAGCATTCCTTGGCAGAGGTTTTGTCCACCAAGTACTTAATCCTCTGTTCATCTGGGGTTACCCCAGGTTCCACCCCTCTCTTCAGCCCACAGGGCTCCCCCTTAGGGCTGCCAGGCAGTGGAGGGAGCAGAGGGAAGCTGCTGATGGAGAGCGCTGCTCTGGAGCTGCCCACCCTTCCAGGGCCCGGTGTCAGTGACATCCAGGACAGGTCACTGCTGACCTGCTCAGCTCGGCCAAGCTGCGCTGCCACCAGGCCAGAGCTCACAGACACCAGCACACCCAAGGTTTGGTCTCCTTTTCTCCTGCTGCTCACAGGGAGCAGGAGCACAAAGCACATTTTTGTCATCCCTGCTCCTAAGGATGAGACCCTTGGGCAACCAGGGGAAATCCCCACTATCACTTCATTGGACTTGTACTACAGGTAAAAGCCTCCTTTGCTGCCAGGAGTGTTTTACGCCAGACACCCACATGTCTTTAAATCCCTCTGAAAACTCTCCTTGATCCCAGAACATTATTTTCTACTGTACCACCACCTGCAGTGACTGCAGCAGTCCACAGTTCCTAGGCTACATGCCAAAAATATCTCATATCTAGGTTTCCCTCAGAATGTCCAGTTTTTCAGTAATTTTATGCAGCTGGAATATGGATTTCTTCCCTTTCTTGAAAATTTATGGACATTTCTCAAGAAAATCTTTCACAAAAATGCCCTAGAGGTCAGCCTCTGTTTCCCTCATCTTCACCATTTCCTCCAAGTAGGATTGCACTCAGTCTTGGAAGGGCTTTGAACACTACAAATGGTATCTGCACACTTCACTTGAGTAACACCTGCTTTGGGGACTTTCCTCAGTGCTTTGGTCATTTTGTCCCTTTTTCACCCACAGTCAGGTGGCTCATAGAAAAGCAAAGTTTCTTGAAATTCTGGTCCAACCAGCTTGGCCACAGTAGCTTCACCACTGATGTTGATGTCTTTTTTATTTTAACTGTATCCCTACATGAGATGCAGTTACAGAAATTAAAAAACAAACAAAAAAGAAATTTCAAAAAAATACCAGGACAATTTTACCTCCAAACTGGGTCAAGTCTCTGTGGAGAAACACTCCATTAACATCATGAGTCTCTTCTGTGCCACATCTGCACAATTTTATCATGCAATTAGACCTTGGCTCTGGCCAGTGAGTGATCTATTAGTGATCTAAAAGTACCTCAGACAAAAGGAAGCCTTTGTGCATAAATTAATGCAAATGAAGCCTGGGCTCTTCCCTCCCATGATGCTGGGAGCTGCTATGTTCTGTGCTGCTGCAAGAAATGAACACTCTGCTCTAGCCTGGGGACAACAAGCCCATCAGAGGGGAGACAAGGGCAAGGCAGAAGACAAGATCCAGGACTTCAGCTTTAAAGCCTGGATGAGAAAGAAATACTCAGCAAACAGCCAACTTTGTGGCTTGGTATTGAAACCACACCAACCATGGTGTGTCCACCTGAGCATCACCCGGAGGTATCACAGAATTCAAATGCTAGCCAGTGAAAATGCCTTCTTAGAACATCAGGAAATGAACATGCCTTGACAAAACAAATCAGGGATGGCTCAAATCTCCTGATCAGCACAGTAAAATCCAGCTCCAAGACCCCAACAAGCCCCAAGTGGAATACACTGCACCTTTGCAGAGGAGAGCAGTGTTGATGGATCTCAGCTGCTGCAAGGGCTCTGGCTGCTCCTGGTGCATTGGAGATCTGCTGTCCCTGCTCCACCACAGCAGGATTTCACTGCTGCTACAGCAGGGGGACACAGACTGGAAAGGTTTCCTGGTCCCACAAAACTATTGCAAAAAAGTGAACACATCCCAAAGCACACAGTGGAAGTCCTGTTCCCTAAATCATTCCCTGAAGTAGGTAGCCCAAGCCTGGCAATAGGAGCGAAGCTCAAATGGGATTGGTTTTTTAGGTCTGGGTCTTTTGGAGAGGGAGAGTTTACTCAAGTAAACCCCTGCTTCTACTCTCCCTTTCCCTGTTTGACCCACAAATGTCCTTTCACCTCCCCATCCCTTCATTGAAAAAGAGCTGGTGCCAGTCTGAGGGGGTGTTTCCTAACCGCAACCCAAGCCAGACCTGTGCCAGTGCTCAGGCAGGCTCACTTGGGCTCACCCAGCTTCATGAACAATGCTGTAGCTGGAGGAAAGTGCCAGTAACCCAGAAAATTGGCTCCATGGTATTCCTTTCATGTCAGGGCTAGGCAGGATTTATTTCTTTGTTTTCTTCAGTGCTGCTTGGGGGATATTTACCCTTTGCTAGGCTCACATTGCTGATCAGGAAAAGGACTCCCCAGGCAGCAGGAATTTGATGTCCCACAGTTTCTTATCTGCAGCTCTAGTCCAGCTTGTATTAATAAAGGTTGAAGATTATTTAGGACTTCCAGTCTGCTGGCCAGTTGCAGAGGGCATGGGAAATTCAGGATGGACTTACAGTAAAGCATTATACATGCAATAATATGTGATTTAACAGATATTTTCATATACTTAATCTAATAAACACAGCATATGCTGTAATGTATATGTGGCCCTGCTTACTTACATTCTCCTTTAACAGTTTGTGTAAACAGATCCCAGCTGGTCCACTGCTTTCACTCATTTCTCGATGTTTTCCCAATTTTATCCTGGAAATACAGAGAAAATAAACACTTTGTAATGGTGTTTCTGGCAGCAGCCTTCCCCCATTTACTGGTGTGAAGCTCCTGCAGTCTCCTGTCACTTGGCATTTCACACTCCCCTCTCTGAGGCACCGACGGAGGCTCGGGTGCCTGGGAGCACCCCAGTGGTGCAGAGCCTGGCAGCTGAGCAAGGCCCCAGGGAAAGCCGCTCCCAGCAAGCCTACAGGCAAGGGTGACATGATCCTGCATGGCTGAGGGGGAGAATTGGCATCCCCCTCCCACCCCTGTGCCTTCCCTCTCACCTGCAGCAGCCAACACCTCAGGCTGGGCCAATCCCTCACCCTGTGGTGCACCCTGGGCCGTGCCCACGAGAGCTGCACTGCTCCCCATCAGGCTGTGCCCACTGGGTGCCCAGCAGCCCCAGGACAAGCTGCATGCCCAGTGAGTCTCCAGAGCAGAGACCAGCTCCTGGGGGCTCTGCCACAGCTCAGCAGCTGAAGGTCAGGATGGGCTCTCACCTTGCAGAATTAGTTGTTTGATCAGAGCAAACTGGTCTGGAAAGATGCCCAGGAGGTCTTCTGGAGCACTCCTACTCCAAAGCTATCACTGCACACTGGGCACCACTGATGCAATTCTGCTCAAACTTTCCCAAAAAATCCTGCAGGGATAATCTTGCAGCCTCCCTAGGCTTAATTATTGTTACTAAGGATACTCCTTGGCCAACCTTAGCCTGCTGCAGTACTCATCCATTAGTCTTTGTTTCAGGCAGAGTCCAGACCATTCCATTCCACTGTACAGCAGTATTATGCACTGTTGCAGGTTCTTATGCTGTCCTCTCCCACAGCAGCTGTGAGCCGTTTGCAGTGCCTGGGGACTTGTTAAGCTCCCTGCAGAGCCCAGGTGACTGCACTCCTACTGTGATATGGTTTCTAAGTCCTTGGAGCAATGCCTACCTCCCCAGCCTAGTCCCTGCATCCCCCCCTTGAACAGGAGTCCTACACAGCCACCAGCCTCCCCCCTGGTCCCTTGCAGCTGCCACCCAGCCTGGCTCTACATGGCACGGAGGGAGCCCAGTGAGGGAGAAGACAGAAAATCCTGGGGTAGGCTTTCTCCCCTGGGCTCCCCGCGTTGTCCTTCCCACACGCTCCCAGGGCAGCAGTGGCTGCAGACCCTGATAGAAGGGCTGTTCCCAGAACCCCTCTCCCTGTCCTCCCCCAGCCCAGTCACACAGTCCCAGCTCTCATGCTCGTTATGCACAGATCAGGTTTTCCAGACTACTGATGGGTTTTGTTGGACTCTATCCAGCCAGGCCATGTCCTGCTGGAATTCAGTGCCCTCAGTGGAGCAGAGCAGCCCCGCTGGGGGGCCCACACTTGCTGAAAAGAAAACTCACTCCATTTGTCTCCTAGGCTGTAATTTGGTTCACATTTCTGAGCATGGAGACCACCTGACACGCTGACTCATGCATTGCCTCTGATCCTTTATGACCCAGACCCTGCTCTGCAGAGTGATGTCAGTGCAGGTGCTTTAATTCCTGCAGCTGCTTCTTTCTGCAGAAGGTGGGAGCTCACCCCTGTCCCTAGAACAGAATCGCATCTTATTTTTCTCAAACTATTTCTCCAATTTGACAAGACAATTTGTCAAGCTCAAGCTGTGTCTCCCTAAGTACTTGCAGCCTGTTCCAGCTTGCTGTGGCCTGCAAAGTTAATAAGCTTGTTATTTATTTTAGAGACCACCATTAATAATGGCCGTGCCTGGCATTTCCCTGCTCATGAATTTCTTCCCAGAGGCCACCCTGCTCATTCTTCATGAAACTTTTCTGTGGAAATTGGATTTGGTCAGGCAAGAGAGAGGAGAAAACAAAGCTAAACTCAGATTATTACTCATTTCCCATCTGAGGGGAGAAAAAGTAACACATAATGCATGTCATCTGCTTCATTTAGCAGTCAGAGCCATAGCAAGTCACAAATGTGTGTCCCTGTGCTGTGGGTGTGTCACACAGCCACCAAATTGAGACCACCTGCCATGTGCCAGTGTGTCCCAGAGAGGAGCTGAGAGATGAAGAGGATGGTGCATGCAGTGCCTGGGGTAAAGAAATCAATGGGCCTGGGGCATCACCAAAGCAGGGCACTGCTGGAGGCAGGGCTCAAAAGGCAGAAGCCATGGCACCATAAAAAGGGCCATAAAACAAGAAAAGCCCTCTGGCTGCACCTTTGCTTGGCCAGCTGAGGATGTAACTTAGGAGCAGTCTGTCTGTTTCTCCTGTAACTCAAAGGGCTGCCCAGCTCTCCCAGGGCTTCACAATCACTGCCAGCATTCCTGTCCTGCTGCTGCACTGAGCAGGGGCTGTCCTCCCCTGACAGCCCCTCAGATGGCACAGGGGCAGCCAGCAGCAGTGACCACAGGGGCTCTATTACCCTCTGCTGCTGCAGTAGAAGTTCTCTCATTCCCAAAGCCAGGAGCTACCCAGTGACTGCTCTTTCTGTAGGATCAAGATGAACTGTTCATGTGCAAACCTCCTGCTCCTGTGTGCTCAGGGAAAAGGAGCCCAGCAGCACAGCCCTGGCCCTGCTGTGCCCACGGAGGCTCCAAAGGGGCTGCTCCTCCTTGGCTCTACCAAGGGATCTGCAATGACAGTAAAGAACCTTTCTCCTCTCCCATGATCTACCTTCTGCCCTTGTACTTTTAATATCTTGTCTCACAAGGACAATTCATTTGTGCTTGAGGTATTGTTCTTATGAGCTGTCCTGGGTTTTTTTCTTCCTCTCTGTTTGCAATCAGCAAATGGGCCCTTGGAGTATAACAGCTACAAGATTATCTGAAACTCAGGTTTCAGACTGGAGGGATATTATTAAAGAAGAATTTTGAGACTTTGAAGACAAGAGTAATGGGGATTTAACTATTCAAATATCCAAAACTCCCAGACAACACAGAAAATACCAGCAGGAAATGCAAAGGAAGAGCTCAAAAGGATAAATCTGTGTGGTTTAAGAAAGAGAAGGGATGAGATAATGTCTGGAAATTGATTAAAGTAGAGAAGTGACTCTGTAAACTGTGAGGAAGAGCATAAATCAGGCAAGAAATGTGTTCAGAATTAACTCAGAGGACAAGTCCAAAGAAGAATGTGGCTGTCACAGTTATGGCAGTAACACTGCCATATATCTAGTTTCACACCAGTGCAGTCCCAAACAACATCTCAGCAGACATGGCTTTTCCACAGAAACTGAGAGTCCTGCTCAAAGGAGGGACAACTTAAAAGAAAGATGGAGATTCTGAAGGTCACATCAGTCAAGTTTTGAAGATTATTTTCCCCACCAAAAAAAATCTTTTGTCAAATTTGTTTATTTTCAGTCTTCAAAGTGAGCAAGAGCTGGCAGCAGTACATCATGCCAGGAGAGCTATGACTTTGCTTGGAATGAAACACCAACAAAACTTTGCCAGTGATAAAGTTCCCAGGGCTCACCACCTGGAAGGAATTTCTTGGCAGATTTCATACACAAAGAGAAGCACCTAATTCTCAGTTAATTTTAATTCACTTTGGCACATCTTCCCCCCAACCCCCCAGTCCTCTCTTCAGATCTTGAAAAATTCTCCTGGCAATCTCTCCAGGCTGGCTGTGGGGCACCATCAGAGCTGCAGGATGCCCCTCTCTCTGTACCTCAGGGCTGAGACAATGCTGTTGCCAGGTCCTCAGGAGTGCTCCTGGCTCTCAGTTCCCCTTGCTCACTGAAAAACCACAGATACAGACCCTGCACAGGGTCCTTCTCCATTCTTCCCACCCAAAGGCAGCCTCCCAAGGAAACCCATGGGCGTGTAGCCTGACTGACAGCAGGAGCAGCCTGAAGGTTGTGATGCTGGAAGCACAGGACCAGGAAACACAAGGAATTAACTTTTGCTTGGGAAAGGGTAAAAGAAAATTGTCAGTGTTATACCACAAGGTAAAGGAGGCTGCAGGAGACAGTGAGTGCTAATATTGCAGAGAGATGGAAAAAATAGAAGTAACACATCTGGTGGTAGATTGCATGTGAAAGAATGGCAGACAAAAAGCACTTTGGAGAACAAATGGCAAAGGGAATAAATGCTATTAATGTTTCTTCACATCAAAGATTCAGGACCTTGTCAGAAAATCTGTAGGGCCAGCTGATATTATAAAACATCACAGCAGATGCGGCCATTTTAAAATTATTTATTTGCTCAGTGCTCCTAGTGGAAGAAACTTCGTCTTCAAATAGCTCCAGCCATTCTCGGGGGTTAGGGTTCTTAAGAAAAATTAGGTAGAAATCAAAATTACTTCAGAAGAGAGATTTAAAAAGTCACACTGTGAATAGCAATGAATGACTAAGACTGATAATAAGTACTCAGGAGATCTATGTCTCTAAACTGGAAGAGCTAAGATCACAGCAGTGATGGATGTGTCATTTAAAATTACTGGAAAGTTAAACAGGGGCAAACATGAGGTCAATTTTAAAACTTTGCTCCAAAGGTGATGGGAGTAACTATAGAAACAGGATGACCCCCGTGGCAGGGAGGAATGATTGGGAAGACTCCGTCTTATCAGAAGGCTAATTAATTACTTTATTACACTATATTATTCTATACTACATTACTTTATATCTAAACTGAATCTGCCAAGCACTCAGCTCTGCACACAACTGCACAGAATCCCATGACTGTCAGCTGACAGTCCCCACACACAAACACACACACTTGGCCCTGAGAGCCAAGGAAACAAAACACCACCACTTTGGGTAAACAATCTCCATATTGCATTCTACTCTTGCACAAACACAGGCACAGCAAATGAGATAAGAATTGTGTTTTCTTTCTCTGATGTTCAGGGAATGTGGAACCCAGAAATATTCTTGGGGAGAATTGTGCCTTGCTTTCCTCTGTGAAGAGAAATGTGGTGACAGGCCTCTTATTCCAGCTTAGATGCTACAGTGGGATCAGCCAGTCTGTGCTGCATCTGTGAGCTGTGGCAGTCTTTGTTGGGAAACCGCAGGGGTGGCTTCTGTGAGAAGATGCCAGTGGCTGCACCCATGTCAGCCAGAGCCAGTGCCAGCCAGCCCCAGGACACATTCACCAGAGCTGAGCCCATCAGCGATGCTGGGGCTGGATATGAAACATATTTCAGGAAGGGTAAAAATCCTGCACAGCAGCTGCAGAGAGGAGTAAGAACATGTGAGAGGAGCAGCCCTGCTGACACGGAGGGCAGGGCAGGGGAAGGGCAGGAGGTGCTCAGGACGCTGGAGCTGAGATTCCCCCGCAGCCTGAGGCGCAGCCCGTGGGGAAGCAGCTGAGCACCTGCAGCCCATGGAGGACCAAAGGGAGCAGAGACCTTTTGAGGCACTGCATCTGCTTTTAAACTGACATGACAGCCACAGGAGTTCAGTGTCAGTCAGCTTCAAAGGCTGACTGATGCCCTTGGCAGCACTGAAGAATTCTTGATACTAGGTCTTTTATCAAAGAACTATCTTTAGTTTATAGATGTGGGAAGAGTTTAACCGGTTTTATCTCCAATGACATTACACAGGCCATTGCAAGAATGTTTTCAGCCCACACACAATGTAAAATGGTTGTTTCTCACCACCATCTAAGAATGTTTATGTTCTAGAGAAGGTCAGCTGAGACCACAGCTCCTGGAGAGCCCCACCATCATATAAATGGGCAGTAAATGACAAAATGCCTTCTGCCCTAGGGAAAGGGGGATTCACCTAACCTGTACTTACCTATCTACAATGTATATGTGTACATGAAATGTCAATAAGGCTACTGGAAGCACTTCATTCTTTAATCTTGATGTTTTGGCT